CGCGACCCCCAACTGGTCGTAAGTCAAGGACTACTCAACCGGTCGTAAGTCGAGGACTACTCAACTGGTGCAGCACCGTTTGCAGAATGGGACTTTTGGTGGCTCAGCAGGGCAGAGACAGCCTGGACAATTCCTATTGGCTTTTGAAAGCCAATAGAATTAGACTCTATTCAAGAGAGTCTATTCTATTGGCTTTCAAAAACCAATAGAATAAAAGGGAGTAGCCCAGCTAAGGAAAACGGGAAAAAAATGGCAGACTGCATTGTTTGGCGACCCCCGTGAAATGGTTGTTCGACCCCAAATGGGGTCCCGACCCACAGGTTGAGAACCACTGTTCTAATAAAAGTAATGTAAGTCCTAAACATATTAGCATTTCATTATGTTTCATTGCTTGTTCCTGATCTGCTGAAGATAAATGTAGCTGGGTAACATCCCATAATAAGCATGGGGGTGCATTTGTGAAGCTTTACAGTATATGAGGAACTGCCTCACCCCAATGGGACTAGCTGGCCCCTCTTGTTCCAGTGGAAGCAGCCTAATTTGGATCCCACTGGCCAAAGAATTTCTGCTGCTGGGCTCCAGGAGAAGATTTCAGGTTGCCAAAGAAGTGGCCGAGCATGGAGGAGGAAACACTGAGCGTCTGTCCGTCGGGGTCCTAGGGCTTCTGGCGCTCAGCGCGACGGCACCGGGTGCAGTCAACACCGAGGAAGCGGCACCCTCTGCACAGCCCGCTGGCTCCCACCAGCTGCTCCTGCCGCCCACCCGAGCAGAGGCTGCTGGTGGGTGGGGGGTTTCCCCAGGGGAGGAAAAGCCCTGCTCGCACCACCTCTCTCCACCGCCCTAGACTGGGAGGGGCAGGATCCCCACCCGAGGGGCGGATGCTTCTGTGAAATCGCTGGCCTTCTGCGAGAGCTGAACATCACTTCGGCAACAAGGGGGCGGGGGCACTTCTCGCTGCATTCTTACTCTCCGCCAGCGCTCCTCTCCCGCCATTGGTCTGCCAACGCTCCAACCTTGCCACTTCTTCCTGGCTGTTTCTCTGAGGGACACTTTTCTAGGGCTATTTGGCTGTGTGGGACACTTAAACTCTCATCCAGACAGCCAATCCCCGTGCCAAGGGGTGAGAATGCAGGATACGGGGGAGCTTGCTTTGATGTACCATATTTTCCGGCGCATAAGACAACTGGGTGTATAAGATGACCCCCAACTTTTGAAAAGATTTTCATGGTTTAGAAAGTCGTCTTATACGCTGGAAAATACGGTAAATAGCAAAAAGTGATCCTGTAGATTTGTCTTCTAGTCTTTTGGTGCTCATCTCTCTCTCTCTCTCTCTCTCTCACACACACACACACACACACACACACACAGACACACACACAGACACACACCAGCTATTTCATGAAGTAGCAAGCCCACCGTTCTGTCAGTCATTATGCAGCACCTCTTTTGATATGCTTTTCAATGAGATGAAGTTTAGATTCACTGGCAAAAAATGCTTTCAGCCAATCCTTGACTAAATTAGGGCAAGTAAATATGAGTAAATCAATGTTTTTTAAAAAAATATACTGCAGGTATTTCTTTATTCATGAGATTAGAAAGATAAAATAGAAAGCTGAAGAAACCTCAACATATTGCTTACATGAAAATCAACAATCACGTTACAAATATATTAATAGCAACCTCAGTTCTGCCAAAGGACCATATTTATGTAACTAAAGTACCACTGCTATCCTGAAGTGGAAAATATTAGCATTGGAAGAAATCACATTTTGCACGTGCAGCAATACAAAAAATATTTAATGGACAAAAGTCCTAAAAGGGAAGAGGGAGTAAGAAGACAGAAAAAGAAAAAATGCAAAAGTATGTTGTGTTGCTGCAAACTGCAGCATGTGCATTGTCTATTTGTTGGAACTCTCACAATACAAGACATAACACAGTCACGTTCTAAGAGATCTCTGAAAGCAGTAGGCTTGTAATGGGAAGAAAAAAAAAATCTGTGCAGCTTTCTCTGCCTCTTTCCCAAGTTCCAGTTCTGAAGACAAACTCTTCCTCAGACTGGCACTTTTCAAGTATGTTGAAGTGTGCAGATTTAGTCTCATACTGGCAGGGAATTCTGGGATAGAAAGCAGTGAAGCCTTCACTTGAGTGCAAACTTGGCTGGGAATACTTTCAACAAACATAATGATGGTGGAAGGAGAAAGCCTCCTCAAGAAGTCTCAAGAAAGCAGGCCTTGTCAGTCCTGAGGAGGCATACAAATGCCTTTTCCCCTCCCACAAACCAGAGCAGAAGTTTGAAGAAACTTCTCTCTGCCTGTGGGTACAACCGCGACCCGCTATCTGCCTTACCATCTTTTCTCCTTGCAGGCAGGGAAGTCACCACAGATCAAGCTTTTATAATCACCTGCAGTAAAAGCCGTTCTTCACATGGCTGAAAATCACAGCCAGGCTGAATCTAATCCCAGCCTTGTCAAAGTCTGGATCACAGTGTTGCCACAGTGACATATTTATGTTAGAACAGTGGTTCTCAACCTTTTTAATGCCGCGACCCCCAACTGGTCATAAGCCGAGGACTATCCAACCAGTCGTAAGTTGAGGACTACCCAACCAGTCATAAGTTGAGGACTTTCCCTGCCCGGGAGCGCCGCACATGTGTGGTGCCACCCACTGCGCCGGCCGAGGCGTAACTGGCAAGCGGCAGAGACAGAGCAGGCCAACCACCGGCTGGGCCACCAGCTGGCCCAGTCCAAGGGAGGCAAGGCATGCGACGGGCCCCATGCGCACCAGCAACCCTCCCTGCACTCGCCGGCCTCCCACCTCCCACCCCTGGCCCTCTTTTACTTACATTTTTAGTAGTTGCTCAGCAGGGAGGGGTGGAAATTTCCAGACAGCTCGCCTTCGCTGCAGACAACTTGCAGCACCGTTTGCAGAATGGGACTTTTGGCAGGCTCAGCAGGGCAGAGACAGCCTGGACAATTCCTATTGGCTTTTGAAAGCCAATAGAATTAGACTCTATTCAAGAGAGTCTATTCTATTGGCTTTCAAAAGCCAATAGAATAAAAGGGAATAGCACAGCTAAGGAAAAGGGGAAAAAATGACGGACTGCGTTGTTTGGCGACCCCCGTGAAATGGTCGTTTGACCCCAAATGGGGTCACGACCCACAGGTTGAGAACCGCTGTGTTAGAATAAGCTTCTGTGGACTAGAGGCTACTTTGACATGTAAAGCACTGTGATAAATAAACAGGTATACATCTTCAAGCAGATAAAGGAGAAAAAGTTTACAGGGGATCTATTTGTTGTTTTCTTGCCTGACCATGGTATCCTAAAAAGCCTTCTCCAGTTCCAAGTTCAGAAGCAACAAAAATCTTTCTATCTTTTTCCTTCAAGGTCACAGAGGAGATCTAGCAGTCATGAAATTTGAGAAAATTGTATTTAGATACCTCAAGAAATCACCTTCAGTCTCCTAAGCCATGCATGCATACTTGGAAATTAAAGCATTATATCATCTGGAATTTAGGAATAGTTGTCATATCATGGATAATTTGATACCATAATTGAAATTCATTCATGATATAATTAATTCTATGTATTTCAAAACTGAATACGTAATATCATCTCACAATAACATCCCATCCCCTGGACTACTAAAAATCCTAAAGCTTGGCCAAATCTGTTGCAAATAGTTGGACTAAGCAAGGCATGATATTAAGGTGACCAACCGTCCTCCTTTTGTAGGTTCTGTCCTCCCTCGAAAAGTGTCCTCCTACATGTCCTTTTCGATATTTGAAGACTAATCTGCAGGGCTTTTTTCCCCTCATAGAACACTCGGAACGGCGTTCCGGCATCTTTTTTGGGATGGGTTTTTTTCAACTTTTGTATGAACTGTGCTACTCCCGCTATTGGCTTTCGAAAACCAATAGGAATTGCTGCTGAGCGCGCCAGAACACCAGGCTGGCAAACTTTGCACATGCAAGCTGTCTGTATTATTGTTGCAATGAATAAAATGTTTCTTTTATTTACGATATTTTTTTCTTCAATTTATTTGTGTCCTCCTTTTCATTGTAAAAAAGTTGGTCACCTTAAGATATGTAAGTGGGCAATCACACTAATGCAGAAAAGGTGGTTGTGTGTATATGGGGTGGGCTCATCTGCTTCTTCTCTCATAATACTCATGGAAGTCAAAATTATTCACTGAAGCTGAACAACAGTATTAGGGACTCACAAAAGGCACTATTTGGTTGCTTAGCATACAAATGGAATTTGCAATCACAAGATGTAGTGATAGCTATCAACTGGCTTTAAAAAGGGACTAGGCAATTCCTTTGAAGCCCAAGAGCATGCCTCTTTGTCTCATTTGTTGGAAAAAAATGTCAATAAGCAATAATCTGTTGCCCTTGGCTTCCCACCATCTTTACTTATAATTGGCCATCATGAGAAAGAGAATCTAGACAAGGAAGGTGCTAGGGCTCATCCAATCTGGTTGTCTTCTTATCTTTTCTTTTTCCAGCTTAATATAAAAGGGTCAAAATATTGCAGTGATACTTGACTTATGACCACAATTGAGCACAAAATTTCTGATGTTAAGTGCATTTTGTCCCATTTTACGACCTTTCTTGCCACAGTTGTTACATGAATCACTGCAGTTATTAAGTTAGTAATACGGTTGTTAAGTGAATCTGGATTCCCATTGACTCTGCTTGTCAGAAGATCACAAAAGGTGATCATATGATCCCAGGACACTGCAATCGTCATAAATATGAGCCAGTTGCCAAGAATGTGAATTTTGACTACATGACCATGGGGACACTCATTCTGAAACAGTCCTAAGTATGAAAAACAGTCATAAGTCACTTTTTTTCAGTGCCGTTGTAACTTCAAACAGTCACTAAATGGATGACTGTAAGTTGAGAACTACCTGTATCTTTTTTTTACTTCTGGAATGCCCAGTTCAGCAGAGCTGGTACAGTGTGTCAGTCTCACTTTTCTTCTGTTCTTCCTACAGATGAGAATCAAAGCAAACATGATGGAGAAGCTGAAGAATTCCCAGTCACCTGTTAAGCCTGAGCAGCCAAACCTTCCACCAGCAGTTACCCCAAACCCTCTTCCTTCCCCAGATGGTGGGCAAAGTGATGTAGAGGCCACTGAACCACTCACCATCCCCACCTCTTTCTCACCTCAAACAAAGGGGAGCCCTCCTGCTGAGGCTCCCTATGCAGTACTGCCCCTCAATGTCCCTGTCATCAGCCTGGGCTACAGCAAGTCCCCCACTCCTATTGAGGTCCCCACAACCCAACTCACTGCCCTACACCCCATTCCTAACTTCTTGCAGTTCTCAGGTCTGCCACCTGGACCCCCTCCACCACCCCTGCCTCTGGCTGGAGTAAGGAGTCCACTTTTAGCCCCACAATACCAGCCTCATCCTTTTCTCAACAAGTAAGTCCAGAAATCAGATCTTGGGGGGAGGGGAATGGAGAAAGGAAGAAATCCTGGTTATGTTGGCAAGCTGCCAGTGCCAACTCTGGGAACAATGGCAGTGGGTTCATCTAGATTGTGTTATAAGCAAATTACCCCTTTTTGGGAAATTGATAAAAAGAGAACTATTACAGATCCATATCAGCAACCAGAGCTTCTTTGTGACAGTGTTTCCCAACATAGAATATGTGCAATTCTTAGAATACCTAGCAAGCATTTATGTTCCATACTGACTAGAATTCTGAAAATTGAAGTCCAAACATATCTGGAAGGTACAATATTAGGGACAGGTGTTTTCCTGAGACATACTACAGGTCACCAAACCTTTAAAGTCTCAGGGCAATTGAATTTGGAAATTGAGAAGAAAGCATCCCTTGTGAATAAGATAGCTTATTGATATGTAATAGAAGCTCCCACACAGTGGAAACCAGAAAGGACCTCTTTCAAGCAAGAAGGTGAGGATAGCAGCTTAAGCATGGAGCTTATTAAGTCGAGGATCAAGATAACAATAACAGTCAAAGTGTTCATCTCATCAAGCAGATGACAAAACCAGATGGATTTGTAACTTACTGACAGACCATACTCAACGAGTAGTCCTTAATGGTACTACAGCTACATGGAGGGAAGTAAGCAGTGGGATACCACAAGGTTCCGTCTTGGGCCCGGTATTCTTCAATATCTTCATAAATGACTTTGATGAGAGAATAGAAGGGGAACTCATCAAATTTGGAGTCCTAGTGGACGATCGCTTAAATATGAGCTAGCAGTGTGCAGCGACAGCCAAAAAAGCTAATACAATCCTTGGTTGTATAAACAGAGGCATAGAATCAAAAATCATGTGAAGTATTAATACCACTTTATAAAGCCATACCTGGAATACTGCATCCAGTTTTGGCCATCACATTACAAAAAAGTACAAGGAAGAGCAACTAAGATGATTAAAAGCCTCCAGATAAAACATATGAACGATTGCAAGATTTGGGTTTGGCTAGTCTAGAGAAAAGAAGAACTAGGGAGGACATGATAGCTGTATTCCAGTATTTGAGGGACTGCTACAAAGAAGAGGGCATCAAACTATTCTCCAAAGCACCAGAGGGCAAGGCAAGAAACAATGGATGGAAACTAATCAAGAAGAGAAGCAACCTGGAATTAAGGAGAAATTTCCTAACAGTGAGGACAATTAACCAGTGGAACAGCTTGCCTTTAGACATTGTGGGTGTTTCATGACTAGAGGCTTTTAAGAAAAGACTGGAAAGCCACCTGTCTGAAATGGTATAGGGTCTCCTGCTTGAGCAGGGGGTTGGACTAGAAGACCTCCATGGTCCCTTCCAGCTCTATTCTCTATTTTATTCGGTAAGTCATGTCCAACATATCTTAATTTTGTTCTTTTAGTCTGATTTGTTATTTTCATTTGCAAGAGGTCCTTAGTGGGAAAGAGATCTTCTAATTACTTGATCCTGGCAGTCCTTTACTTGTTTATAGTTTGGGACTTGCCAAAACATGAACTCTCTTTACTACTATCTGTAATGAAGGAGTTAACCTAGCAATTTAAGGCACAACAGGGAAGATTGGTCTTTGATTATTTTACTGAGTTTTCTGGCCAGGACTTTGGAGGAAGCTGAGCTTATGAACTGTGCCCAAGCTACACAAAATTATATATCTGTAGAAATGGTCTAGAAAGGTTCAGCTTTATTCATTATATGCTGAGAGAACCAGTGTGAAAGTGAGCAACCTGGAGGCCACTAATAATAGTTCTACATGATAATGGTCCACCCAGTGCCATTCTATGTGAAAGCCGCTACCTGAGTAGGGATGGTTGGATTGATGGAGTGGTCCCTGCCAGTGGTCCTTGAGAACATGATAGGTTCCTGACCACTCTGAATGGGAGAAGAGCAAAGTTATCAATGTGTCTCAGGTTCAGTTTCATCCAGTGATTTCTTTTAATGTCGAGCTCCCATTTTCTTCCCATGGTTTATCAACAGCCCAACAGTGGGTGTCCTCTCTGCTTGGTCAGTCTAAGTTGTCTTTCCTGAACATGCTTTCTCTTGCCCCAGCATCTGATGTAGGCATGGCATCAGCTGAGCTGTTAGGGAAGTTTTCTACCCTGTAATGGGATGACAATGTCAGAATCCAATTATATTTCATCTTTAATTATCAAATATAGAAACTCCCAATTCTGCCATCTCTGGATTCTGCCATAAGAGGGAGAGAAGGGGGAGAACAAAGGGGCTTTATTGCCCTCACTTCCTTCAGTACACTTCAAAGGGCTGAATGTTGAATGTGTGTTTATTGTAACCTCGAAGTGTTAGCATACCAAAGGAGAGTATTTGCCTTTCATGTAGTTATCTGAAGTATCCATCCAGACGGAAGAAAGAAGAAAAGGGGTGGAATTGTGATACTTGAAACTATCACTGGAAGGGGGGTTGATTGGGTGGGACTACTGGGGAACCCCTTAAAACCTTGAATGGAAGAGCTTGAACCCAAAGTCCTGTCTAGCATGCCTGCAACCACTTCTCTTAATAAAGGATTCCTGTTGGAAGAATTATTCCAAGAGTTCTGTCTTCTTAAGATGCAAAGTGGGGTGGGTCCTTACAGACAATCTTTTTCAGAATTAAAATTGAAGGAATACTTTGACAAATACATTCAAATATTTATTTTGTGGATTATGATACTAAGATGCATCCCAAACAATGTAACCGAGCCACTCACAATATGTGAAGGAATATAACTGAAATGATTGTTGTTAACTGGGCAGGTTTATCCTAGGTATGGGTTTTTATTTTTCACCATAGTACAAATGCTATAGGGCTGGACTTGCAGAGAAGGAGGCAACAGACCCTACATAGAACATTGTTGATCCTGGACCTGCTGCCAAGAGATATGAGAAAATGATAATATTTGTAACTTATTTTTGTAGGAATATTTGTAAATAAAAGTTATACAAGATTGTATGCATGCTTTGAGGTGGAGGTTCTGATCACTGTTCTTATTTATCTCTAGCATTTACCTAGGCAACTCGGGGACTTTTGGCCTCTTTCCCAATAATCGCCTCAAGCGGAGACCAAGCCATTATGAGCAAGACATTATTGAAGGTGAGTGGCCATGGGGAAAAATCAAGTGTGTTCCTCTCCCAGGACAGAGCAGAGTGGACTAGCAGAGTAGCACATGTGACAGATATGGAAACAGCTTGTATAAAGTGACTGCCAATATGGGGGAAGGAGTTCTCAATTCATGTTCAACATAACCCCTTTTGCAAAGGCCTCTTACTCATTCAGACTTTTCCATATATTTGTCCAGGTCTTCAACCCCAGAAAGTGGCACGCCGGGTCTTCACTAATAGCCGGGAACGGTGGCGTCAACAGAATGTGAATGGTGCCTTTGCTGAGCTTCGGAAACTCATTCCCACCCATCCACCTGACAAGAAGTTGAGTAAGAATGAGATTCTTCGCTTGGCCATGAAATATATCAATTTCCTGGTCAAGCTACTGAGTGACCAGGCCAGACTGGCTGGAGGGGAGACTGCTGAAACAGACAGCCCCTGCAATGGCACTCCCAGGACTCCATCACCATCAGCATCCATAAAACTGGAACAGTTGACAGTCGAGTCAATGACTGTGTTGGAAGCAGGAGAACCACGGTGATGTCTAGCAGTAAAAGACCACCATCATCACCCATCTCGTGCATCTACAATGCTGCACACATGGATCAAGCTACCTAGTATCAGTGGAAACTCCTTGGCCTGCACATCCCTTCCTTGAGTCCATTACCCATGGAGTGGGCTGCCATAATAGGGTTATATTGACTTTGGAAGACTTCATTTGAATTCAGGAGTCCAAAAACAGATGGAGAAGGTGATGGAGTCTCTTTGACTGAGACATCCATTGATGCCCAATGGAAACCTCAAAATGTGGGGGCTCTGGGAGAGATGAGATATGAGATTTTATGTACAATTCCCTGGTTTCGGCTATTTTAGGGCAGTGGGGATTGCTTGAGCTAGCTCTATATGATGTTTGGTTTGCATAAGACACCCTCTAGGTCTTGTTGGCTGTAAGAGGAAGATGTCAGGTAACACCTTGGCTGGGAAGAGTGATCTGGAGTTTCACTTTCACTGTTTGCTAATCGGTGCTTCTGACATTTAGCCTTAACACTGCTCTTGTCGACAAATCTAAGCTTTATTGTTGTCGGGGCCCCACATAAATATTTGAGCCTATACAAAAGAGCAAACAGATATAAAAAGAAGTGGCAAGGTTAAGAAGCTGAGCTCCCAGGCTCAGCCTCCTTTCCACCTTCCCATATCAGTGACATCTTTCCAGATGGGAAAAGAGCTGCTGAAGGATTTTGAGAATTCTTGTCAATGGCTTGGAAAGCAAGGGCTACATAGCCTTATACAGACTGTTCGGTGCATTTGCTGTGGTCTGCCTAATTCGGTAGCTCAGTCAGGGATACAGGTGGTGGTTTGTGTGAGGAAATGGAGGCACCCGGGATCATTCAGTCAGGGAGGGCAAGGCTAGAGCTGTTCTTTTTGATAGGCTGATTTTCCTGCATGCACAATATTTTTCTTGGCAATTTTCTCTTATAAGCTCTCAACATCAGTCCCAAATATCAGGAGCACCATCTCTTCAGGAGAACTGGGCCTTAACAATGCTCTCTGTGATCCAGGCGTGCTACTGGGGCGTTACTCCAGATGCAAGCAGTTAAGAGGGAGTGGATAATGGTGGCACAGCAGCTGCTGTGTCACTCCCTAGGGGCCAGTTGGGAGGGGGGGTTTGCTGGGAGCCCACAGTCTCAAAAACCTTCTCCCTTCCTGGAAAGAGAAGGGTGGTTTGTGCTGAGTCAGTATCTTGGACTTCTCCGCAAACCCTGGGCTCCTTGCCAAAACCAAATATGACAGCAATGATTCTGGAGGGAGGGAGGCCTGGGCGGCCTGTTATCAGGTGAAGAAGTTTGTTAAAAAGTCTTTGGGGTGAAGGAAGAAGAAAGACGACCATATCTACACACACACACACACACACACACACACACACACACACTAGAGGTGGGGTGGGGACAGACACCAGCACGTATTCAGTTTCCAGGTTTGCTTTCAAAGGAAATTGTTCTCTGCTAATATTTGCTTTTATTGGGACGAGGATTTGTAAGATGGGATTCTTACATTCATCAGTGCTGTCCAGACCAGAAGCTCCTTGGAACCAAATTCTTCCATGTTGTATGATATTTTAAAACTGAAGTCAATGCCATAAATAAAAAGAAAAGTAATATGTTTGGTGATAATTGTTGATCCTGTAAAAGACTGTGTGGGTTACATGCTGTTTTGAACTTGAACTTTTCACGGCAAGGAAATGATGATGAGGAAATACATAGGTAAGCAAAGGGCAGGAAGGATAATGGCATGCTTGGCATCAATGTATATGTGTATGTGTACAGTATATAGCATGTTTGTCAAGGATGGGACAGAAATGGAAGTGAAAAGCCACCGAAGATATAGAAGTACTGCATCCTGAGGTGATTCCTCCCCAGTCCTCTCTGACATGCTGTAAGGTGTAATGGTTCGATGAAGCCACATTTAAGTCTCCAGAGGGGAAATGGCCCAAGTATGTCCACAGGGCCTGGTATATTATTCTACCAACACCCACCAACTTACCTGACATCATGCACATTCCTTGGGTAACTTTTCCTTGGCTACAACCTAGTTACATGCTGGAAATTACCCCCAAAATACACAGAGCTGAATGGCCATTTGTGAGATGTTCCTGTTTCCTCTTGCCAGTTTTGATCTCATTTACTTTGCTGTGATTAAGGAGGCTTTCTTTTTGATTCTACCTTCTGGGTTTGTAGTCTAGGCAATCACTATGCCTTTCTTTCTCTTGTCCACTTTCTAAGCAATCCTTCAATCACGTGATGTTGATTTTATTTTATTTTTCATATTCACTTACCATGCTATACAGGTTCTTGCTCTAGTCAGCTCAGTGAAAGGATCCAGGATATCTATTTGGGTTTGCACAACATACTGAATCTCAACCAAGTCTTAGCCAACTATCTTTTAGCCAGGCATCTAGCCAGCGTGGGAAATCTGTGGCCACTGTGTCATGCAAACCTGAGAAGGATAGTAAACTGTAACTGAATGTGGTCTAAACCTGTGGTCACTCATTAATGTTTATTATCAAATCATTCTTTAAATTAGCAACATAGTTTTGTTTTGCTGTTATTGTTTATGTGGAATCTTTGAGGTGCCAAAATCAAAGTAAATGTTTTGCTTAGAATTCAGTGAAAATAACATAGTTCCAAGGAAAACAAATAATCGAAACATGGCAGGCCCAGTCATTGAACTATTCTGCTCAGGCTCCACCATAATGAATTGGATGGCTTAAAGAAAGATGCAGTTCAGCAGACAAGAGCAACTCCTACTAGATTGCTAGAATTGATAGATGTAAAGAGGATATGGTCTGTTTGTATATATTGCTGAAGGCCCCTATAATCCAAAGTATAGTCATATTTTAAAAAGCAGTGGATGCTGTTACAATCTAACTGAGAGCAGGTAATGAAAAATGGGTACATTTCCCACTGTGCTGGCATATGGAAGATGTTGGTTTTAAATTCCACCAGAGAGACAAATGGGCTCATCCGTCTTAAACAGTTGAAGTCAAGTTACCTTTCTGTATTTCAGTCATTGATTAGCAACAACTAGCAAATTCTCCATTGTGATCCCCAGATGTCTTGAGACCAAGCTGGCAAGCAGAGAAAGAGCAGCTTTTTAGTTTTTTAGCTTTTTTTTGGGGGGGGGGGTTTCATATAACTGAGTGGTGCAAGGATCACTGTACCTCTTGATTTACTCAGACTTATCAATTTTATGATCCTCAAATAGTATTGGTAGAAAAGGAATAGAAGAGGCCTCTCCATGCTGAAAATTTCAGTTGCTTCTGTGAGGGTCAAGCAAATAAGAGGGTCTTTGAGACTATCTGCAGTATTGCCCTATAGAAGGGATGTCCACAGGGGATGATTAAGAAAGTCAAGATGGCTGCTACAATGGTGCAGTTGAAACTCTGTTTTTATTTGCACCTCATGCAGAGCTTTGTGGATACTTGTGCTATGACACTTTAAAATCCACAGCAGAAGAGGGAGAAGTGTTAGAGGACCAGATATTTTTCCTGCCTGCCACTTCTTTGCTCAAAATCACCCTTCCCTTGAAGCCAAATACAAGCAAAGTTCAAGAATTCCCTGAGGGAAAGTGGGGTGGAGAAATCTGAGGAAATGGGGGATATGTGGAAATTGAATCCCACTTCCTGTATTGCTTGCTTTGATCCCATTGGTCTTCAGAAGCTGCCCTCCCTCTAAAGAAGATGAAAGGTGTACTATTGTACCATGCAATGGAGGCCCCCCCACACTGAATTCCAGGCAAAGGGCAACCAGAAAGAACCAGAAACCCTGCTAATAAGATACATCTTGGAATTGGGGCTGTGCTGAGAGGCACCTAAGACAATCCCAAGAAAGTATTAAGTCTTCCCTTCTACTCCAATTAGTTGGAATTAGTTGCCAAAAATGGCACTGAGGCAGCTATTTGTTCCTAAAATCTCTACTCAAATACAGAGCTTTCAGTACTAGGACATCTGGTTCCTTCGCTTCATTACTTATACACACACTACCCCACATTACTTATACACATGACCTTGGACCATCTACCTTTTCGTACTGCTGTTTTCATTTCTCAATTCCACAGATGATCACAATCATTTTGTCATGTTTACAGTATCTTCCCTCTTGAAGTAATTAGATGTTTCAGGCCATGGTGCTGGGGTTTTCGTTAGCAAAAATAGATTTACATTTGTATCAGAAATTGATTTAAATCTAATGTTGTTAATATTGAGGCCTGAAAGCCTTGTGCTTTACCTAAAAGAGATGAAGGTCAAATGGTTGGTGTCAGTGCAAAGGAATGCCAGAGGTGGGCTTCTGGAACAAACAAATACACAAATGTGTACATACCTTGGACAATAGGCTTAAAGGGATCTTAATTAGGACTACTGCCTTGACCTGTTTGTGTACACCTGATCTTGGATGTTTTCTACATCAGGGTCCATGGCCATTAATCCCTCTCCCAAGTGCTCTCTCTTTCTCTTTCAAGGAAGACAAACAGAAACAATTACAGTCAATAACATTCTTTAATTCAATCAGTTAAAGAAGGTGCTGCATCTATAAACTTTTATTATGGAAAAATTGTAATTAACACATGCGTATTACACCCCGCTCGGAGAGTGGCACTTGGGGAGGGAGGGGTAGTGCCGAGGGCTGATTGGGACAGGGGCTGGGGCTGGAGGAGCTGACCCACCACATCACAGCTGCTGGTTCCCTTCTTTGGGATGAGGGTGAGAGGGGGGGAAGCTATGTGCAATGCAGGTTGGTTAGCAGAGGAGCTGTTCTGCAGACTTGAGCTATCCTCCCCTGTATAAAACCTGCAGGCGCGGAAGGGTAGAAAGTCATGATGGCTAGCAACCGAGGGGCTCTCACGAGCCCCCCCCCAAGGCGATTTGCTTTGTAATGTCTGTAAACATATTTTGTTCACATTTCTGAAGCTGGATGCATAAAGTTTGATCACTTTCTCTTCCTGTCTCAATTTGTTCGCTGGTGGCAGCAAAGGCATCAGTTTAAGGCACTTCCCTTAATTCGGCTGCAGGATTATGAGTTCTTTTTTGCTTTCAGAACCAAACCAGTAGCAAACCAACAGCTTCATAAGGAGTGGAAGGGCACTAAAGGGTCAAGGAAAAGAGCTGGAGATGGCTGCTCTGAAGCATCAGGCTGATATGGGTAGAAACAGATATGTGTATTTTGAGTCTAAACTAGGCAGGTGGCACATTTCTGGGAAAACTTACAAAAGAGCCCCTGTCCTTGTACCGAAATGGAAAGTTGCTATCTTAATATCCATATAAGACTAAGTCAAGATGGGGGTTCTTATTGCAGGGGTAAAAGAGTCCTTCCTGTAAACATCCTGAGTGGGTTAGAGAAGGAAACACTCTTTAGGGCTACCATATCTGGGTTGCAAAAATCTGGATGGCCATTAGATAGCACCCAAAGGTTAGTGTTTTCTGTACTATACCGGTATGTCTACCCTGCCTTTTAGTGGTCTTGCACTAGATCCAGTAGCCTTAGGGAGTGTGGTCAAGAAAAAACAGAATGACATCAGTGGGAGTCATTTACCTCTGCAAGATGGTAAAGAAGACACAACAAAACACCTTACAAAACTTAGGGAATATTTGGGGAACAAAATAGGCCTGTTGGGCTTACTTGTCATCTCAGTTAACCCCATGCTGTTTGGAAGGAATGTTCCTCCCAGTCTTCATGGGAAACAGGAGCAAGGTTTCTTTCCTCCTAGTGTTGATCCCCCTAGATCCTCCCTTGGGAACGGCTACTGAACTCCTAGGACCTCAGACCACTGATTATTAGTCCCTTTTATCAGATCACAGCAGTCTCTGGCAAACACATAGTAGGTGTTTGGAAACCCATAGGTGACTAAACAACCTTTGAAATAAGTCTACTGAAAGGCAAACTTAAAACTTGTCACTAATATTCCCTGTCACACTAGATATGAACAGCAGTAGTATGCCCATATATTTATTGTTAGGTTGCCTTAGCCAAATATCAACAAGGAGGGAAGGAGGGTTTGATTTAAGAGCAAAGGAGGATAAAGGTGAATAGTGCTAAGTCCTCTCCCTGCCAAGGGCATACCTTCCTGCTGGCTCCACAAAAGTGCTTTTCTCCTCAGCCAGAAGTGAGCCTTGCAAAGAGAAAGAAGGTATGCAAAGGATTAACAGGAGAAGCAGCAGCAGCAGCTACCTCTCTACACATCAGCAGACATGACACAAAGTTGCCCAGTCCAATGAGAAAAACATTTAATAAAACCTAGGTTTCGTCAGAAGCTTCCGACATTGTCAGCTTCCGACGAAAGCTAGGTTTTATTAAATGTTTTTCTCATTAATTCTCCTGGTGATAGCTATTTATTTATTTTACAATATGAATATACCCAGGAGTCGAATTTTTACCCACATTATTAACTATATATATATATATATATATATATATATATATATATATATATATATATATATGTGTGTGTGTGTGTGTGTGTGTGTGTGTGTGTGTGTGTGTGTGTGTGTGTGTAAATATATGTATGTGTGTGTGTATATATAAATTTGTGTGTGTGTGTGTGTGTGTGTGTATACTGTACACACACATACATATATACATGCATACAAATGTACACACATACCTGTTAGGCACTTTAA